CTAAAAATACAAAAATTAGCTGGGTTTGGTGGTGCACGCCTGTAATCCCAGCTACTCAGGAGGCTGAGGCAGGAGAATCACTAGAACATGGGAGGTGGAGGTTGCAGTGAGCTGAGACGGCACCACTGCACTCCAGTCTGGGCAATAGAGTGAGATTCCATCTTGAAAGAAAGAAAAAATATATATATATGTGTGTGTGTATATATATATACATATATATATTTTTTCTTGTAGAGACAGGGTCTCACTATGTTGTCCAGGCTGGTCTCCAACTCCTGGCTCAAGTGATCCTCCTGCCTCAGCCTCCCAAATTGCTGGGATTACAGGCCTGAGCCACCATGCCTGGCCTTGGATAATTCTTTGTTGTTGGCTGTCCTGTGCACTGTAGAATATTTAGCAGCATTATCACTCCTCTGCGTAGTGGTAAACAAATGTCCCTAGACATTGCCAAATGTTCCCTGGGGATGTGAGGTGGGGTGGTGGGAAAACTGCCTTAGGTAGAGAACTACTGAACTAAAGCAGTATGTTTTCATGGCTTTGACCACCAGCTATGTCCTGATGACAGACAAAACTATAGCTCAGCCAGAGGACTCTCCTAAACTCCCAACCACAGACCCAACATCCTGCTCGACTTTTCCACTTGATAGTGCCCAGGCACCTGAAACTCAGATAGCTCATCTCCCAGATCTCTAATCCTGGTGGATGCCACCAGCTGCACAAGCTGCAAATTCATCTACCTTTTCCTTTAACTCCCAACTCTACAGTTAATCCAATGTCCTACTAATTAAAACCTTTAAACAGTTCTCCTATCTGTATCTTCTTCATTATTCCCGAGATAACACCTTAGTTTGTTATTTTTTCTTTTTCATTGATGTTTCTGAGTCATATTGCCTTAGTTCTAAAATGCTTAATTTCATAGCTTTTAGTTTCACTAGCTTCCAAACTGTTTTCCACACTGTGCATCAATAGAATCTTCCTACCCCACAAAGATGATCATCCTTCTGTTTTCATCTTTCCTGTTCTCCCTCCTCTGGGTGATTTTTAAGGAACACTGCTAAAGGCAATTTTAAGTAACGATGGCCCAGTGAAGCAGGATCACAGAATCTTCCTTTGTCAGCATCAAAAGAATACTAAAAAAAGTTTAAGACAGATAGATAGCTCTAGAAAAAGTTAGACACACATAATCAAGGGATTTCAGCAGAATCAGGAAGAACTGCCAAGGTATGCCACTTTCCAGGGAGCTGGACAGCACTGGGTACAACCCCATGGGAGTGGGACAGCTCCCATGGGGGAGGTATCTCCAACTGGATGGACAGAGTGGGTCCAGGTACAAGTGATTTCATCCCCAGAAGGGTTAACATCACCAGCTTAGCTCCCTCTCCCATCCCAAGGCTATAGAAATACAGACACAAAGCCCTGCTACAGACCTCAAAATGTGATGTGTCAAGGGCAGAAAAACTAGTTCCAGGTAGTGAGAAGTGGGATGACAGAACTCATTCACTTCTTTTTTTTGAGAGAGGGTCTTGGTCTGTCACCCAGGCTTGAGAGCAGTGGTGTGATCTTGGCTGACTGCAACCTCCACTTCTTGGGCTCAAGCAATTTTCCAGCCTCAGCCAGGCATGAGCCATTGAGGTCCAGCTAATTTTTGTATTTTTTGTACAGATGGGGTTTCCCCATGTTTCCCAGGCTGATCTTGAACTCCTGAGGTCAAAGCAATCCACCTGCCTTGGCTTCCCAAAGTGCTGAGATGACAGATGTGAGCCAACGTGTTTGGCCCACTTACTTACTTATTTTTAAAGATAGGGTCTTGCAGGGCCGGGCACGGTGGCTCACGCCTGTCATCCCAGCACTTTGGGAGGCCGAGGCGGGCAGGTCCCGGAGGTTTCCAGGAGATTGAGGACCATCCTGGCTTAACACGGTGAACCC